CGTGATATCAGAATTTGTTGTAATATACGTGGATATTGTGAATTCATGGATAAAATTGTTCCACGAATAAGGGCCGAACATTGGAAGGCTTAAGGATCCTCCAATTTCCAAAACTATGTTAGTTTTGGAGTAATTCCATCCGTCAAAGCCACGATCATGCTACTGCTAAATCATCTAGATTTAGCCACATGAATGTTTTTTTTTCAAGGATAGCCAAACGGGGAGAAAACAAGCCTACACATTTGATGTAAATTGATTGCTAAAACATACCCGATTTAAGGATGAAAGGGAGAAACCGGAAGAGAATCGCGATACGAAGAATAGGATATGGACTACATACTTCAGCAATAAGCAACAAGAAAAATACAAGAGTGGCCGAGATTAAATTGAGGCCTTATTGGATAAATTAATTCAGTCGAAAAAGAAATCGGATGTTTCAGATTTTGTTATGCTTCAAATCCTTTATCAACTCACAATGATATGGACTCCAACCGCTAGAATGAATGCACCACGGCATATGTTCAAGTATATGACTAGGATAGATTTGGTTGATCATTTCCCATGGGCGACAATCATCTACAAAGAATTGTGGGATTCTTTCAAGGCTGTGAAGATAGCTAAAAGAGGCAGATGTATCTTAGCGGTTGTGCTCCCTTGCTATCAGTGAGTTATCTGTGTTATTTGTAATTAATATATTGCATTTGCACCTTATCTATGATCATTGCCATTTACGTATGATATATCACGCTAATATGTGACGTTTGTGCCCCATATGTGATATTTGTCCCTACAATGCAATGTTTATTTGTGATATTTGTAGTTAATATGCGATATTATCCCCTTTTATGTAATTATTATCTTTTACATGTGATATATGATACTTATATGTGACGTTTGTGCCCCATATGTGACATTTGTCCCTGATATGTATTGTTTAAGTGTGGTATTTATTTGTAGTTAAATGTGATATTATCTTGTTATATGTGATTATTACCATTTACATGTGATATATCACACTAATATATAACATTTGTGCCCCATTTATGATATTTGTCCCTGCTATGCATTGTTTAATTGTGATATTTGTAGTTAATATATGTTTATGTGATTATTGTCTTTTCCATGTGATATATGATACTGATATGTGACGTTTGTGCCCCATATGTGACATTTGTCCCTAATATGTATTGTTTAATTGTGATATTTATTTATAGTTAATATGCGATATTATTGCTTCAGTCGTTATGAACCAATCACAAAATTGATACACATATCTATGCATAAAGTTATTAGCAGCACATGCATGTTTACATGGTATTCACAATATATCCCATGCACGACACGTACATGTTTTGTGTTTCAAATCAACTTGTACTAATTTTTGTGATGATACCTCGAAGATTTCAGGTGTAGAATGCGATACTTCAAGAATGCTTCCCTTCATGTAATTTTCTTGGAGAATTTTTTCGCTTCAGGACATAGATAGCTATTCCATTTTGTTACCATCTCGCGGAGAGTATTCATCCTTTCCATAATTTGCACACAAATGTGATCCATCATATCACAAATAGGAAGTGTTCTCACCATACAAATACAATTGTTGAAAGATTCAGCAACATTAGAAGTGATATGATCATATCTGTGTATCAAACAAAAATTCACTATCACAAATTACAGCAATGTGCCACATATAAACAACAAACGTCACAAACAACATCAAAATATCAAAGCACACAACTAAGAGTCACATATAATGGCGTATTGCCACATGATACAAGTAAAGGTCACACATAACAGACGAATGTCACATATAAAAGCATAATGTGACATTTAATAACTCAAATTCATAGAAAATGACTGATATTTGACGTACCTTATACTAGGAAATACAGAATTCGCCCAATTATTTAGACCATAACTTAGAGCTACTTGGTAAGCTCTTTGATCCGTCATCCTACTCTCATATAAAACATCTTTAAATTCTCTTTCCGTGTACTTGTATGCAGCAAACTCCAACAATTTTGAAATAGGTTGAGCAGCACTTGAGGCAAAACACATCTATCTAAGCTTTAATTTATAATTCTCAACAAGATGAAGTACACATCTAGAGTGGTACACATCTGGAATTATATCTTTTAAAGACAGTTTTATTCCTTTGTCGGTATCTAAGAAAATTACTAGAGGATATGGTGGATTGTATGGTTCTGTTCGATTGTACAAAATATACCGCAATCCTTGAATAAACCAACTCCAATTCGCTTTATTTTCTTGGTCACAAACGCAAAATCCGAGTGGAAATATGTCTTAATTACCATCATAAGCAGTCGCACCTAATAAGATCCCTTTGTAGCGATCTTTCAGAAAGGTCTCATCTAGAAAGAGCAATGGCCTACATCCCTTGAGAAACCCCTGTATGCATGCATCATAGGTCACAAATAAACGTTTGAATCTTCTTTCTTCTTGTTTAATGATGAAGACACTGTATGTGTTTGTTTCCATCACCTACATTTCGTACTTTAAAATGATGGTTAAAAGGACAAATAACTTGTTAAATGATGAACAAGATCTAACTATCACATGTAATACTCAAACGTCACAAATCAGGTCTAAATATCACATATAAGGCCGAACTATCACATGTAGGATTTAATTGTTACATATAACATTGAAATATCACATGAGACGCGTATTTGTCACATAGCGTTCTAACATGTCACATTTACGGTTAACTGTGATACATATATGTTCTAAAGTAGACATCAACAAATTAATGGACTAACCAGGATAGTAAATCATATGAATGCCTTGCGCAACCAAATATTTGGTTTTTGCTGTCTCCTTAGCATGCCAAGCTTTAGAATAATTAACTTTTAAGCAATATTGAGAGTACAATTCCTTTCTAATGTCAGTTAGGGTAGTATATGGATGCCTCTTCATAATTGATTGTAGCATACTTGTAATCCACCTTCTTGATGCTTTGGAGTGACTAGCTGTGCTGTTACGTTGTCCACAAGTATGTTGAGGAACAATTTTTTTTATAGAAAAGGTCGACACATAGCTCAATGGTGAAGCAAAAAGCAACCACAGGCATTTTGTTTCTTTTCTTAACATGCAACTAGCACGAATACGTTTTGGCTCATTGTTAACATATTAAAAGAGAACTTCTTAGCTATAGTGTAGTATATAAGAGCCATTCTAACTTCTTTTGCTCTTTCAAATTGCTACCCCTTTCTAGTAATTGCCTCGTGTCACCATGCTGGTATCCGTGACGAGTCACTTACTACGTCATTCATCATCCACACATGCTCTCCTTGAGAATTTCCATTTGGGATCCTCTCTGATTCCTTGATTGAGATACTCTCATAAGGTTCATCGATATGCTCCGATGAGTTTGAGCTTACATTAGGAACACTACAAGTTGAATGTAACATACATATAAGTCAGGTGTAATAATCACCAGTAAAGTCACATATAAGACGTAAATATCACAAATAAAGTCAATATGTCACAAATATAGTCAATATGTCACGTTGGATGTCTTCAGGTCACATATATGACGTAAAGATCATAGTTACTGTTATAATGTGTATCCAGAACCTGAAAATATTCTTTTGTATACTTACTTAAGCTCTGTTTCTGTTCCTATGGCATGCGTGGATCCTTCATCTCTTTTAGTAACAGTCATGGTTATCATATTTAACCCCATTGAACGATGATAATCTATCATATTGAGAATATCTTCATCTTTTGAAAGCTCAAACGAGACATTAGGAAACTTCTCAAAAGAGTAACTTATCAACAAACTTTTGTACAATACTCTAAAATTCTCTGCAGCTTGCATCTTCAATTCAACTAAACTTATTGCAGAATTGACTTTAATGAGGGTTGCATTAGTGTTAAATAAAATTATACACATTAAAGAATCTTCCATTTTGGTTGTTGAAGAAGTTAAGAGGAAAAAGTTAAGAATATTTTGGTTGTTGAATGTCTTATGAGTAGATCTAAAGAGGGAAGAAAATATTATATTGAGATGAGGTATTATTTTGGAGGGAACTTAGTAGGTTTCCCTCCAATTTTCCCTTTCCCTCCAAAAATGATCTCCAGCCATAACCCCAATCGTAAGTGACTTTTGACTTCATGATGACATGATATGCTGACCAATAAGACAAAATACTTTACACCCTCCACAAATGGGTACAAAAAGGTAAAATGAACAATACTTAAAAATACACTATAAAGTACATATACAATGTTAGGCTAGAGGTGTTTTAGTATGAAAACTTGGGTCAAAGAGCTTACAATGGGTTGACTCTAGTTGGGGGAGGAGGATGCATAGCCCAAGTTTTTTTAGTTCCTCCAAACAATATTCCCGTTATTTAATTGCCCCATTCAGAGGCCCTTGCATTATGTTTACTAGTTCCCCTTGCATCATGTACTCCTTGACAGAAAATATAGTTGATACAATTCATTCCTGTTTTCTGGTCATGGATATTCAAATTCGAAAATAATTTTAAATTATATTTCCATGTTATAATTCTTATGCTTATGTCGAAATTATCCATGACTACCCTTTTAAGTGAAATGTTTGTCATGTAATTGGATTACATATAGATTATTTTGAGATTAACTGATGATGACGATAATATTTGACTCAAATTATGTCTAAAACATTATGCATAAAAACTTAGAATTCCATAATTTACCCTCAAAAACAAAAAGAAAATCCAAAATTTATTTCATGAGAATTCAGCTCTTCCAAATCGGTTTCTACAATCTTGGCAGAAGCTGAACAAAAATCTTTGGTACCCTCTACTTTATCCACTCATAGGAAATAATTTCTTACAGTTGAACTCGATCGAAGAACTTTATTTATTTAATAATAATAATAATAATAATAATAATTATTATTATTATTATTTCATCAATGAAGTAAAACTTTTCATCCACAAATAGGAAAATATTATATACATCACTGTAAACCCGAGAATTAATACCCAGGTTTAGTACAACTCATCAAATTAGAAAACTCAAGCTATACAGAGATAGATTTACTCATTTACATCAGAACATATCTATAAACTGTAAATCCATTCTTTGTATTTATCTCGAATATTATATATGCATCACGGTACTATTTTGCTGCTGATTGTTTTTCACTAAAAGAATTCATCAGTTTCTCACAGAAGATTTCTTTCTCCATCCTCATAGCTTTCTTTACCTGTTCAAGGAAAATAAAAATAAAAATAAAAATAAAAATTAATTGAAATATGAAAATAGGTTATATCCCAGAAAACAAACAGTAAATTTAACCTGAAGATGAAGAGAATAGAAGGTTTTATTATCATGAGAGGTGTGAGTCGTGGCATTCAAGAGTTGTAGTCCTTCTCTCTCCAAAACTCTTATAACTTTCGACATAGGAATCATTGAACTTGTGTTCGAGATGCAGATTTGGATCATGATCTCTTTTTTACTCAGACATATTGCTGAAACCACTGGATTACTCATGCCTTTGTTGCAGTTTGATTCTAATTCATCATTTGGTACCCTCAATAAAAGGTCTTCTTTTGAGCATTTCAACCTCTCGACGCGCTTTTGCAGTTCAGGTATATATTTTAGTACCCGGGCAATTGTACATGGAATACTCAATTTCTTCTGCACAATGAAATATCTTATAATCAATTTAGAAGAACTCCTTTTTATTAAAGGGTTAATTGCAGATAGCCCCCCTCATTTGTACTTTGAGTTGCATTATCACCCCTCAACAAATTGATATATAGCACTGAACTTCCGTGCTAGTAAAATAGTTGATGAGTTGTAAGTGCAAATAGTCAGGGTATAGATAAGGAGCTTATCTGCAATTTACCCAAGACTAAATATAGTAAAGGTTTACGAGGCATGACGTACTCGTTTATCCTTCTCCGGTAGAAGTTCTCTGAGGGAGGAGTAGAGCTTATTCAGCTTCTCCCTTCGCTCTCTCTCATAGTCATGTTGGCATGATTTCTTCATTGAAATTTGAAGTTTCTTGTTTCCATCACCAGAGTTTTGGGTGCCATCATACTCAAAATCTTGGGGTTGAGGCGAAGAATTGCTCGCATTGTGGGATGTATCAGTTTCTTGAAAGTTGTAGCGTGCAAATAGATCATCGCAAGGAAATTCATGCATCATTTGCTCTTCAAATTGCCATTCGAAGTCTGGAACAATATTGCTAGGAGAAAGGGGCAACATGTTGGAGAGTTTTGATTCAGCTTAAGCTTATCAAGGATGTAAGCTTTCCGCCAAATTTATAATGAATCCTACACATGTAGGCTATTAAAGTAAGGATAGTGGGAGATTTTATATATGTACTTATGCATTGATTATTGTTATTGTTTATGTAAAATTAGATAGTTATAAGATTATGTTTAGTTATAATTGGGTTAGTGGGTAATTAACCTGTGACCGCATCCACTCTTGTATCCTATGTAATCTACTTCTTTTCACGAATAAAACTATCAGTCTATTTCATAACATGGTACAAAAGCAGAGGTTATGAAATAGATCTTAATCTCAACCTCCATCTGAAAGTCAATCTACTCTCCACCGTCCAATACAAACCCTAACCTCAATCTACTCCAAACCCTAACCCTAACCTCAT